ACGGGGGGACTCTGCTTGCACGGGCTTTTGTGTCCAGGCGGGCTATCCGCACACAGGCTTGGCGCAGTTCGCTGGTGCTTCGAACTGGCAGCTCGAAGTTCAGAGCCAGCGTGCTAGACCACTCGTCGGCGTCGGTCGTCGTCTTTGTCGTGCCCCAGGCGTTCCCAGATGAATTCCATAGGCCGCAGGAGCCTCCCGTGCCTGCCATGGACGTTCCCAGAGGGCTCCAAGAGGCCGCAAGAGAACCCAAGTGTTCGCCAATCTGTTGCAAGAGAGTCCAAAGGAACCCAAGCAGGCCAAAGAGGCACCAAGTTCAGGCGGAGCCAGGGAGCGCCCAGAAGCTCCCCGCAGCCTGGAGCGTCTGGCTTGTGGCTCGAGGCATCTTTGTTCTCGACCTACATAACTTTACACGAACTTGTTTTCTTCGCCGCCGGGGTCGGCCAGGGCCATGACGCCGTCCTCATTCGTCGCCCTGCTGCTGCTGCTGCTGGTTTCGCGCTCGCGCGCCACGGCCAGCGGCCGCGCGTGCCCAGACGCGGAGTCCCAGCTGCTCCAGCTCTCGAGCAGTCAGAGCTCTGGCGGCGGCGTCGGCTCGGGGCTGGCGTCCACGGACCTGGATTCCGTGGTGTGGCCCACCCGCGGCGGACCTCAGCTTAGGAACAAATGCCCAGTACCGCTGCTCGTCCTGGAGAGCCTTTGTCGCCGCGGCTGGATTCGCCTCGAGATTCTGGCCAGAACGCACCCCAGAAGAGGTCAAGGGAACAGCGGTATGTGTATGTTTTCGCTCCCCAGGAAAGACGAGCTCCTGCTGCCGCTGCAACTACGTCATGCGCATCCTTGTCCCGGCCGCGAACATGCCCGCCGGCCCGCAGCAGCTTCGCATCAAGTTCGCACAGTCGAATAACGGCATCGCGTACGTGGCTTTCGGTGAGGAGGAGTCCCCAGGAGTGATGAAGGCTGGCACCATCACGAACCTGTGTTTTGACGGGCAGGTCGGCGACTGCACCACGGCCGTGTCCCTTCGGGCTTTTGAATTGTACACCGAGTGGTTCGACTACACGATCGACACAGCCAAGAATTATTACGTATCCTACCTTCACCTCTGCGGCCCTGGCGGTTCCTCGTCGGGGACAACCCCTGACGGTGTGGCGTTCAGCGGTTACGACACTGGTACAAGCGACGAATACACGTACTGGTCAACTTCTGGTACTACGACGTGGTACAACGACCTCCGCGACAACGGTCTGGCCGGGACCCTTCGCGGACCCAGTGCGCTCGTGTACGGCCACTACTCACGCGATCCGGGCGCCAGCATCACAGGCGGCTGGAAAACCGCGAATCGAATCGAAGGCATCCAGGGTATCGAGTCTCATGCTAGTTCAACCCCTAACCCCACGCCGTATCCGACGCCGTTCCCGACGCCCTACCCGACGCCGTACCCGACGCCGTATCCGACGGCCTTCCCGACGCGTTACCCGACGCCCTACCCGACGGCCTTCCCGACGCCCTACCCGACGGCCTTCCCGACGCCCTACCCGACCGCCTTCCCGACGCCCTTCCCGACGCCCAGCCCAACGCCGAGCCCGACGTATCCTGTGGGTTGGCCGACGCCACATCCAACTTTTCTTCCTGGAGCTGCCATGGCGGGAGGAGCTGGCGGAGGCGTAGCTGCCACTGGCGACCCCCACCTTCAAAACGTTCACGGCGAGCGGTTCGATCTGATGAAACCAGGCAAGCATGTTTTGATAAACATCCCTCGCGGAATGAGCGCTGAAGCCGCATTGCTTCGGGTGCAGGCCGATGCGCGCCGATTGAGTGGACTCTGCGCGGATGTGTACTTCCAAGAGTTGAACGTCACAGGGTCTTGGGCAGAGGCAAAACAGAATGGAGGGTATCATTTCATTACAGCGTGTCACAAAGAGATGTGGAGGCTCCGCAATGGGTTGCGCTTGGCAAGGTTGAGTTGAAAGTCGTGGTTGGACGTACGGAGAGTGGCCTCCAGTACTTAAATGTATACGTCAAGCATCTAGGGCGAGCAGGGTTTGCAGTTGGAGGTCTCCTGGGGGAAGACGACCACAAAGACGCAATGACTCCTTTAGCGTCCTGTGCCAGACATGTGCAGCTAGCTCAGTCGAGTGGCGGAGCACCTTCTGCGCTGTGGGTTGCAACGGCCACTTTCGCGTGACAATAGTCACCATGACATACGAAGGCATGTCATATGTGGGCCATCCTTTTGTTCCGACGCGTGCTGTATCGCGTACGCATGTGTTTCAACCAATATTGTGGCATTGTCGTGTCCACCGGAAAAATTTGGTTGCCACTCTGCGCTGTCACAGGCCCCCGTTGCTCGCTGGGTTGGTCTTGCTCGTGGAGCTCTTGTTGCTTCGTTGTTCTTGCTGCTGCTGTCATCATCTGCCCCCCCCCGTCCGCCCCCCCCCCGCCCCCCAGGCATCCTGCACCTTCTCCTCCTCCCCGTTTCCTCCTCCTCCCTCCTTCTCCCTACCCCCTCTTCCCATTATCCTCCCTCCTCCTCCTCCTCCTCCTTCTCCTCCTCCTCCTCCTCCTCCTCCTCCTCCTCCCCCTCCCTCTTCCCTCCGTCTCCTCTTTCCTCCTCCCTCCTTCTTCTCTTCCTCCCTCCCCTTCTCCCTTCTCCTCCTCCTCCTCCTCCTCCTCCTCCTCCTCCTCCGCCCCCTGATCGTTGTCACTCCTCCTCCTTCGCTTCTGGCCTCCCTCCCTCCCTCCTTTCTCCCTCCCTCCTTACCCTTTCGATCCCCCCTTTCTCTTCCTCATTCTCCCCCTCCCATTAATCCCTCCACCTCACTCCTCTTTTCTCTCTCCTCCCTTCTCCCTCCGCTTTTGCTTCCTGATCCCCCAGCCCTCCTCTGACCTCCTCGGGAGCGTGTCATGATACCTCCTCCCTCCTCCTCGAGGATGCGGTGGCCTAGGGGGGCCTGGGCGGAAAAAGACAATACTGGTGATACAAAGAACTGAGGAGGGATGAGGGGGAGGAGGAGGAGGAGGAGGAGGAGGAGGAGGAGGAGGAGGAGGAATTGGAGGAGGAGGGGGAGGAGGAGGAAGAGGAGGAGGAGGAGGAGGAGGATGAGGAGGAGGAGGAGGACGGGGACATGACGAGATCGAGAGAGAAGTAATGGAGACGATAAGGATAATGCTGATGAGGAGGAGGAAGCGGAGGAGGAGGAGGAGGAGGAGGAGGAGGAGGATGACGACGATAGGAGGAGGATGAGGACGAGGATAAGGATAAGGATGAGGATGACGGTGATAATGAGGATAAGCATGCTGCTGACGTTGCTGCTGCTGCTGATAATGTTTATGATGATGAGCATGCTAATTACGATGATGCTGTTGATGATAATGATGCTGATGGTAAGGATGATGATGATGCTGATGATGATGGTGATGGTGATGGTGATGATGATGCTGAGTTCGATGATGATGATGGTGATGATGATGCTGATGATGATGATCATGATGATGATGCTGATGATGATACTGATGATGCTGATGCTGATTATGATGCTGATGCTGATGATGATGCTGATGCTGATGATAATGATGATGACGATGATAATGATGCTGCTGCTGATGATGATGACGACGATGATGATGATGATGATGCTGATGTTGTTGTTGATGATGATGATGATGTGGATGATGATGAGATGATGCTGCTGATGTGATGATGATGCGTTGATATGTATTTGACTCATGGTGCGAACGACGACGACGATGATGATGATGATGATGATGATGATGATGATGCTGATGATGATGATGATGATGATGATAATGATGAGATGATGATGATGATGATGATGATGATGATGATGATGATGATGATGATGATGATGATGATGATGATGCTGATGATGATGATGATGATGATGATGATGATGATGATGATGATGATGATGATGATGATGATGATGATGATGATGATGATGACGTCGATGACAATGCTGTTGCTGATGCTGATGATGATGGGACTGCGAGGGCAGAGCATTGATCGCACGTGCCCCGCGGCCGTTTCCAACCTCAAGGATTTCTGCTGCGCCTGAGGGGTGCACTGGCCTTCCCCACAGGCGACCCGCATGCTGTGGGCGAATCTGGGGAGTCTCGCGGCGATCAACCCTGCGGTCACCAGCGGGATCACAGCGTTCTCGGCGTGGGTGATGCGGGGCGTTCTCGGACGCCGCCCAGGCAGCTCGCGCCGCGGGACGGGCGGAGGTCGTCTGCCCCGACATCCCTGGTCCCACGTGTCACTGCCACTGCGTGTGCGAGTCGACTCCGTGCGGGGGGCACCACGGGCCTCGAGCTGTTGACGGGTATGTTCGTCTCGTTGTTCTCCGGTATCGTCCAGGTGCTGCTGACGTGCACTCATGGCGCTTGTCGTCGTGGGGGCACCGGGGCCGCCAGCTCCAGCTCCGCTTCCTCGGGGGGCGGACGGATGGCCCTTGCCGGCGGGAGCCGGAGCGACAGCGCTACGGAGAGCGCTCGTGAAGTACGCGGGCGCGGGAGAGGAGTTGTTACACGAGCGACTGTTTCTGAGTGACATGGTGAATGGTGTTGTGACGGCCGCCTCGCCCGACTACAACGTCCACGACGAGGATTATAGCGATTCAGGGACGTTCGAGCTGGTGCGGTTCCTCGGCGACAGCGGGGAGCTGCCGATCGGGGTGGGGGCGGCCAACCTGTGCTGGTTCGCGGCGGCGCCGTCGGACGCGGAGGTGCAGCAGCTGCTCGCGGAGGCGCAGGCGGTCGTCGCTCTTCGCCCCGCCGCGCCAGCGGCGGCGGCAGGGGCGGCGGGCGGCGCGCTTGGGGGCGCGGCAGCGGCGGCGGGTGGGGGCGCGGTGCCCGCGCCAGCAGCCGCCGCGCCCGCGGTCACCCCCAGCTGGGTCCCAGCTGGGTCCTCGCCGAGCACGTGGACGGCCACAGCATCGGTGAGATCCTGACCCTGGCGCCTGGTGCGGCCGTGCTGTGCGACTATGCGTTGATGGTGCTCCCTGGGATGCCCGCGCCTCGGCCCGTCCTGGTTCGGCAGCTGGCAAATTACCAAAGGGAGATCGACGCGTTCTGCGACGAGCGATTTGAACCCTCTCGATACAACAGCCGAGCGCCTCTGATGCTTCTGGATCGTTTGCTGTGCGTACCAGCTATCCTATAGCCCCAAGGCATCGACCCGTTTCAGGTTCCAGAATCACCCTGGAACGGTTCCGGGGTGAAAATTGGAACCTGAAACGAACGATTTTCCATCCAGGCGCTCTCGGGAGCCTTGCAGGCCACGTTTCGGGACCAGAAGGAAATGGATATGGTCGCGTTCAGGAACTTCAGATACCGACGGAGAGAAAGAGAGAGAGAGGCATACATGCATACATACAGCCATACATAAATATGTGCATACATATATCATGTATACATGCATACGTACACACATACATACATGCATACATCCATACACATACACGCATACATGCAGGCATACATACATACACACATCCGTACACACATGCACACATACATACACACATACATACCTGCATACACACATACATTCATACATACATACATACATACATACACACATACATACACGCATACACACACATACATACACACATACACACATACATATATGCATACATCCATACATACATACACACATACAAACATACAAACATACATGCATGCATGCATGCGTGCATACATACATACATACGTACACACACATACATACACACATATTTACATACATGCACACTTACATACACATATACGTACATGCGTACATCCATCCATACATACAAACATGCATACATGCATACATACATACACGCACTCATCCGTACACACGAACACACACATACATACATACATCCATACATCCATACATACATACATACGTACACACATACGCACATACACACGTACACACATACACACATACATACATACTTACACACATACATACATACTTACATACATACATACATGCCCACTTACTTACATACCTATAACCATGCACACATACATGCATGCATGTATACATACACACGTACGCATACACACATACATCCATACATCCATACCTACACACATACATACATACATACATACATACAACCATACATACGTACACACATACATACACACATTCATACATACATGCATACATATATACATACATACATACGTACACACCTGCCCACATTTATACACACATACGTACATACATACATACATCCATGCATGGATTCATGCATACATACATACACACATACATACACACACATTCAGACATACAAACATATATGCATGCATGCATGTATGTATGCATACATACACACTTACACAACTAGAGACCGAGCGATATGGACAGAAAGAGATAGAGAGAGAGAGAGAGATAGAGAGAGAGAGAGAGAGCGAGAGAGAGAGAGAGAGCGATATACCAGCCATAGCCGATATGCCGCATTATACATGTATAGAGGGATAACGCGATGTGTATATACGCACATATATAATATATATAATATATATATAGAGAGATTATATATATTATATATATATATATATATGTTATATATATAGGATACACACACGTGTGGGTATACATTACAACTTACATTATATAGTATACATAATATGTATATGTTATATAATATATAGAGAGAGAGAGAGAAACACATACATATATATATAGACATATATATATATATGAGAGAGAGAGAGAGACGAGAGAGAGAGAGAGAGAGAGGGAGAGCAGAGCGACGACGAGAGAAGAGACGAAGAGAGAGAGAGATAGAGAGAGAGAGGAGAGAGAGAGGGGAGAGAGAGGGGGGGGGAAAAGAGAGAGAGATAGAGATAGAGATTTATTGAGAGACAGAGAGAGAGAGAGAGAGAGAGGGGAGAGAGAGAGGAGAGGAGAGACATGAGAGAGAGAGAGAGAGAGAGCGCGGTCAGAGAGAGGAGAGAGAGAAGAGAAACGATAACCATACTAGAGCGAGAGAGAGAGGAGAGAGAGAGACGAGGAGAGAGAGAGAGAAAGAGAAAGAGAGAGAGAGAGAGAGAGAGAGGGGGGACGAGGAGAGAGAGAGAGAGAGATGGAGAGAAGGGAAGGAGAGCGGAGAGAGAGAGAGACGAGAGAAAAAGAGAGAGAGAGAGAGCGCGGACGGCAGGAGACGAGAGAGAGAGCGAGAGAGAGCGATCGGGTGAATATTACTAGAAAATGAAAAAAAGCACTGTGGCGGGCCCCCCCCCCGGCAGTTTCTGAGCATCTTGATTACGCATGACGGTTTCTGAACATAACTCGAGCTTTAGGAAGCTACAGAGCTTGTAAGACAAAGCTACATCGGTGTAGAATGATAGGCGCGTTCGACTGTTTGAATCCAGTGAGGTCTGAACTCGGTCTGTTAGCCGAGCTAGGTCCGCAAACCTATTTGTATTATTCGAGTCATCTTGACAGAAACTCTCGGTTTTCTGCACTTA